TGCATACACACACACACACACACACACACAACTCTCTCTCAAACACACACACACACACACACACACACACACACACATACACACACACACACACACACACACAACACACACACACTACACACACACACACACACACACACACACACACACACACACACACACACACACACACACACACACACACACACACACACACACACACACACACACACACACACACACACACACACACACACACACACACACAGGCACACACACACACACACACACACACACACACACAGTGACCTGCCTCATTAAGGGCAGTCATGAAGTGTTGGTGTAAAACTAGGTAACATCATCGAGAACAAATCATCGCTAATTTGAGCTCCACAGGTTTCAATGTACCAGTGTAAAGAATCTCCTCCCAACAGCTCCGCTTAAAAGTATCACTATAACACGACGGATAGCCATTACCCAACTGAACACCATAAAACAATCCTAAAAAAGGGTAAAATCAAGAATAATATGCAAAATAGTCTATGGAGTGTGAGCTAGTTTAAGCACCTTGGTCACAGATGGCTGATGCTACGCTATGACAGAGCAGTCTGTGTTTGAGGGGCGGGAGACCAGTGAGGGATCGTGTCCTTCTCCCTGCACAGGTGACACAACTAGGTGTAAACGTGTGTGTACCTGATGTAGGGCTGTCAGTCCATCCTCGTTGACCAGATCTGGGCTGACGCCGTTGTTTAGCAGCTCCCTCACTAAAAAACACACACACACACACACACACACACACACACACACACACACACACACACACACACACACACACACACACACACACACCTGAGTAGAGTCCTTTTCACATAAACATTATAACCCTTGGCACCTATCTGTCTGCACTAAACTGATCCAAAGAGCACCTACAATGTGTCCGTGTGTTAATAATGAACTCACAAGGTTTATAATTAGCCCTGGGACTGACTATCCTATACACTATTGATAACGACCGTATATATAGGGTATAAATTATGCATAAATAACTTCCTTTGAGTCCCTTTTTATGTATCATCATGCCACCTTCTGATAATTGCTTTATGTCTCAGAAAAGGAGTTCATAGTACCAAAGACTTTTAGCTTTCAAGGGTCATAGGACATGTATTGGCAACTTCTGAGTGTTCTTGACTTTCCTCACATATTCAAGATTTACTGATTTACTTTTCATTCAATGTGTTGAGTTGCTTAAGCTTCTAACGTTCTCTCTGAGTGTGTGTTGGTACCAACCCTCCTCCACGTCGTTGCGTGCAGCAGCATCCAGCAGCGTGATGGACTGGGGGAACGTGACTTTTATGGTGCGTGCCTTCTTCTTATCCGCTTTGGCTCTCGACCCTCGCGTTGAGTCCTTCTCCATCTGCGCCCATCCCTTCAGCTGCTGAACGCGACGCTTCTGGGCGTGCTTCAGGCGCTCGGTGGCTCCCAGGCGCCCGACTGTGGCCATCTCACCCAGCAGCTCCCCGTGCTCTGCTGCCATGCCACACCACCACCAACTGTCCCGGTGTCTTCTCCTCTTGGGTTCTCTTAGTCCAAAAGGATATGGAACATAAAAGTTTCTTAAATGTCTTCTACGTCTTGCCCCTTAAGGAGGCCCTTCTGTAAGGCCAACCAGGCCTACGTTAGGGCCAGTGGGAGACAGACACTGCAGCTTATCTGTAAAAAATAAGGAGCAAATTTCACAAATATCCAGAGTGTGATGAAACGACTTATGTTGTGCAATCAGGTGGAAGGTATCTCCCTGATTTCAGAAGGAAGCAACATGTTGTGGCAATGTCTCCTCCTCATCTTTCACATAACTCTTATCGTGCCTTGGAAAATCAAAGAGAGAAACATCCAGGATTTGGGCTGTAAGCAACCGTCAGTCCTCCCGTCCATATCAGCTGTGGGGAACTTGACCCACTGAAGGGAAGAGATCGAGAGATGAGATGTTGCTAGAAAGGAATAGATGCCTTATGAGAGCTTCTGATCCAAAGTGAGGGTGACTGTGTCCAAGATGTTGATCCAAGTGTTTGAGAATCCATAGTGAGAATGTGATGAACAACACATCCACAGAACCAGAAGAACTGAGGAGCTTAAGCTAGGATTTAAGTCCAACTTTAGCTGACGCTGTGGCAGTACCCCCCCGTGTGGGTGAGTGGAGACTTTTCAAACGTGTTGTTGTGTACGTTTTCTCTTCAGGGATTCAGACGAGGTTTCAATGATTCGTCCCTCAACGTCATTGTCTGCCTGTAGAGCGGGAGAGAGGAGAAAAATTCAATGTGAGTGCTGCGTTACAGTGTAATGTTTGCACACTGCTCTCCTCATGCTGTTATCTTTAACCCCTGAGCTCCTTCCAGCGACTCCCTCCTCTCCCACTCCTCTCCCGGAGGAAACCTGAGACGGTGGGACGCTTTTCATTAATGATTGACACACCCTGCAGCCCGATACACACGACGCCGCCATTAGCATAAACGTGGAGTAAAAACCGAGAGAGGGACGTGGTCGAGAAGCGGGTAAAAAGATCAGATGTGAGCGTGGAGTTATAACTCAGGTGACCGCACTCTCATTACTTTTCTTTAACTTCCCAGATGAGTTACGCGGCTCACACACACACACACACACACATTAATACTCTTTCCAGGCTATTCATTTATAATTTAGGCCTGGCCTGTGAGCGCTGAGAGGAAGGTCAACTAGACGCACTCAGCGAGATAGAGAGCGACTGACAAGACACCAGTCCTGGGCCACGGAGACACGCCAACACGCAGCCACAGATAACACACCAAGAGGCATTTATAATAACCAGGTTAAAGTTAAACTAACTAGTTGATTTAATACATTACATTACATTACATGTCACTTGTTAGACGCTTTTATCCAAAGCGACTTCCATACTCAATACTGTGGACAATCCCCACAGGAGCAATTTGGGGTGACGTGTCTCAGGGACACAACGACATGCTGACTGCAGTGGGGTTTGAACCTGTGCTCCCCTGATCCCAACACCAACGCACAACCCACTGCGCCACACACCTCCAATTGATATCCAAATGAGGTGAAAGAAGTGCCGTCAATTGGTGTAAAAAAATGGATGTATAATTGCGTTAATAGTTATAACGCTATATATAAATAATTGTATTTTGTTGTATTTTCGGGGAAATAAAAAAATATACATTTGGTGTTTTAATAAAGAAATGCATGACAAACTGGTAAGAGACATTTAGAGGGTTTTAATTTTGAATTATAACAACTCAGATTTCTGAATTAATGGCATGAATTCTGACTATTTTCTGACAATCATGAGGAAATACCTAAGATAACTCAAGTGTACTGCTCGGAAAATAAACACCAGGTCACAGTCCTTCTCACAACCTAGAAATCCTAAAACAACTGGATTATAATTGATATATAAACGTAATTATTAAAAAGCAGTACTATCATATGACTACTTTTAGAGAAATAAGGAAAAACATGTAGTACCTGCAGCATCACTAGCATATTGTGTACAAAGTCTGAGGGTTGAATCTGGACATATATAAGGTGTTTATATATATATTTAGAGAGACCGACCAGTCACTGTTTCCGTTAAGACAACTTCCTAGCCACTCAAATAGTTCCTGTTTAAAAGGCGGACAGACGGTTGTCATTTGTTCCTTTGCTCTGCCGTTCTTCTATTCTTAGGACATCTCACCTCTCACCCTTTGTCACAAGATACAATACAAGGATTTCCTTAGATTGAGGTAATAAGCTTAACTCTCCCCCATAGGCTGCTGAACACTGCACGCATAATTCATTCAGACAATACACACACGAACACGGACTTGTTACGCACGGGATCAAACATCATGAATGATGAATGTTAGGCTTGTTGATAATGCCAATTATCCACTTCTTTCTTTCTTTAACCCGTCCTCCTCCTAAAGGGAAAAGTCCATGTTGTGTTAAAAGGTCAACAGGATTCTAACAAACCCTTAAGGAACAGTAAAGGCTACGTGTAGCTAGCAGCAGCAGAGCTTATTTTGGGTCATTGTTCTTAATCACAGCTAACAAACGGAAAAAGGGAAACCGTTTGTAGCGTTTTTCGAGCTTTAAGAGAAAGGATTGGAGGAATATGGAAAATCTCTGCAGGATTGTAACAGCTGTTAGCAGGATAATACCATCCACCACTGACCATCAACAGGCGGCCCGCGGGCCAAATCTGACACGCCAGACATTCTCATCCGGCACGCGCTGTGGCGCTGGCGGAGTGGTTACGCAGCGTCCACACGGCGTTGTGCGTTGAAGCTTGCCAGTGAGCTTGTCTGAAACTCAACCAATCACATGAATCTCCCGACCCGGACACACAAGCACGCGGTTTGATTGGATAGAGCTTGTACTGGCATATGATTTGATTGGCTGACGCTTCAGCCGAAGCTTCAAAAGTTGAACATTGCTCAACTTTTGAAGCGAGCAACGCGAGCAAAGCGAAGCAACGCTCCCACAATGCAGTTCGGCAAATCTGGCCATTCAAAGTGAATGGCCAGAAGCGTTGAAGCATCAACGCACGCCGCCGTGTGGACGGGCCGT